GCCAGCCTGCAGTGCTGCATCCTGACTCGCTGCACCACGATGGAGGGCCCCAGGTTAGGATCTTGACAGGTGGGAGACAAGAGGAGGGGAGCAAGAAGAAGGGACTAGATCAGTGGCTCTCATGCTTGAATTCACAGCAGCCTCCGTGGGAGGGTTTATCAACACTGAGATTCCTGGGCCCACCTTAGAGTTTCTGATTCAGTAGATCCAGTGGTCTTAAAATTTGGGACCTCTAACAAGTTCCCAGGTGACAATGATGCAATAGGTCATTATTCTTCATTTTGATGAAAAAAAAATTCAGACAGAATGACAGAAACTTGAGTAACTTCCCAGGTTATGACTTATGTTTCTGGATAATTGTTAAGTGAGGTCACGTATTGAAAATGAAGGTGGCTAATGGTGAAATCAAAGGTCTAAGGAGGGTAAAATTCTCAAGACTGCTTCCTGGTTCTCTGCATTTTCCTTATCACATAGCAAGAACAAAGAAGGTCATAAAAGGGCAACTATTTAATCAACCATTCGTTGGTTCTGGTGTTTTATGCCTGCCCTAACCTTGAACACTGATCAAGGTCAGACCAAGGTTGATCTCCTGGTCAGACCAAGAGAGACAGAAAGATGAGGTTTGGAGGGAAAAACATTCCAGTTCTTTCCACCCACCTCTTACACTCCTGATTTCCAATTTGCCCTCAAACAATTCTCTAAAAGACAGGTGCTGCAATAACATGAAAGAATGTTTCTACAAAAGTAGACTCAATAGATTCTAAAAGGAAGACCCGCCCCTTCCCGACAGCTTCTGGTTCCGGTACCTCGCAGGCTTTGACGTGCTCACTCTGCCACTCTTCACGGACCCTCTCCAGCGTGTTGACATGCGTCATGTATGCCTTGTCTGCAATGGAGGGACCTGGGTTCAGAAACCCTGCTGGAAACAGCTCATAAGCCAGCCACCAGATTCATCCCAGATGACAAAGAAAATGTGTCAGAGTCACTGAAGTTACAAGGCTTCACAGAGCTCTGAGTGTTAGGTGGCTATCCTCACACTACCCACCCTCCTTACCACCCGTCCTTTCCTCCCATCATCTCTTCCTTCTTTATTTTGTCAATCCTACCATATACTCTCTTTTGCAAGGTATAAACAGCCAACTTCCTTAGGGACAGATTTGGGAAAATGTAAGCCCCATTGCAGTCCTCCCCATCCCAGGGGCAACCCCCTCACCCGAGTCTTCTACTGCAGTCTTCGAAGTTGCCAGTTTCACAAAAAGCTGTGAGGACAAAACAAGGGGTCAGTAAAGCTGGATTAGCCTCTTCTAGAAAAAAAGGGATTTTAAAACGGTGAGTGGAGACACAAGTTCTAGTCCAAATCTTAGCTGTGGTTCTCTGATGAGCAAATCAGTCAACTTGCTTTGTCCTCCAATCTCTCTTTTTTTTTTTTAAAGATTTATTGATTTATGCATACAGAACTGGGGTACAGACCAGAGGCTGGTGGGTGAGAGGATTCACTAGAGACAAAGTGGGGAGCAGAACAGGCCGACCTACGAAGTACACTGCTGAGGAGAGCAATGGGTGGGTCAGGAGAGGTCTGCCAAGCCCTGTGGGTCACCTCTGGGGCAGGTGGGGATTGGGACTCACTCTGAAGCGGATTTAGCTTCTTAGTGCTGTGCTTCATCCTACTGCTCCACCAAGGAGGGCCCAACCCTCCAATCTTATCACCATTGAAACTTCCCCTTCAGGCATCTTGCCCTACATCTTCCCAAAGACCTAGCTCTGACCCTTGGTTGCTGACAATCTTATATGCAGATTTTATAAAATTACGATACACCCAGCAGGAGGCAGCCAGACTACAAAGAAGTCAAGAGCTAAGTTTTGATGAAAACATCAGGCTCCCCTCCCCGATGGCCACATTTCTCTAGCCTTTACCATCCCAGCCCACCCCTCCAAGTGTGACAAGGGTTTTTCTAGTTCAGATGTCCCTAATAACCCAAAGCAAGGGATCGCCAGAGCTTAGGATGCAGGTCCATTTACATTAAACTTATTCAAGCTTTAGCTTGTCATATTGAATCTTGGGCCTTTTAGACCAGTGGCCTTCGCAGGTACCTTTTCTTGTTGCTTTGAGTTTGCCACGTTGGCATTCCGGTGGAGAGCATTCTCTGCCTCATCTTTGTCTCGGCATTTCTGTTCGTAGTTCTTCTTTGCCTTTGTTAATGAGCCAAAAGACACCAGAAACAGGTGAGCAGTCTCTAACCTGAGAAACAGCCACCCTAGCGCCCAGGGCCCACAGAGAGCAGGGCTCTGATTAAGACTGTGACTGCCACTAGGCCACCAGAGTTGGAAGCCACGTGCTCTATAGAAAGGCTCTCTAAAGTGGCAACCTGATTAAGGAAGTAATAACTCCTCCTTGCAAACACAAAGTACATGAGCTTTAAAAATTAACTGAAGCAAACCAAGGGAATTTTTTTTAACTAAAGGAAAATTTATAAATTTGCACACCTTAAAAGAAGAAGAGGCGCTCAGTAAAATAGGTAAGAAATCAAAGAGGTGAATTAACAAATTTAACAGGATAAATGTAATCGTACAGTATAGATGCTTGGTGTCTTCACCTGAAATATTTCAGTTGACCTGCTATACTTGTTCACATTACCCAAAAGATGACATCATTATTTCCACTCTCTGCTTTCATCTTCAACCTTTCCATGGACTTAAAAAGCAGGAAAGTCAAATCACTAAAGGTTACTTCTCTAAAACACTGCACTAATCAATAACACTGAAAGATTGTTTGACTAGGAATATGCTCATACAGGGCAAAAGATTTCAGAAAGTATGTTTTTTTTATTAAAAAAAGGCAATAAATTATGACTCACATCCATGGTTTTCTTGAATTGTAAGCTCTTCTGCTTATGGACAGTATCCATTGTGAGCTCGGTCTGTGAAGAGAACACAAGTACCGTCAATAATAAAAACAAAATTATTAATACCAATTTCTCTTGAGGGCTCAGAATTCAGCATGGGTCATCTCACTGAGTCCTCATGTGACCCACAAGGTAATTATTCCCATTTCATATGCAGGAAACTGCATCACAGAGAGGCAGACAATTTGACCAAAGTCTATGACTGGGCAGTGGTGGGGTCTGCCTTTGAACTTGGACAGTCACCATGGAATCATGAGTCACCTTAAAGCAGTCTCCTTAGTTAACCTGCCATCAAGAAATTTTAATTTCAAAAGGGATTTTTAGCCATCTCACACCAGTGAAAATGACACATATTAAAACAACTAGCAACAGCAAATGTTGGCGAGGATGTGGAGAAAAAGGAACTCTCCTGCACTGCTGGTGGGAACGCAAATTAGTACAACCACTATGGAAAACTGTTTGGAGGTTCCTCAAACTGCTAAACATGGAGCTTCCCTATGACCAGCAATCCCACTCCTAGGTATCTACCAAAGGACACCAAAACATTAACTTAAAAGGACACCTGCACCCCTGTGTTTATTGCTGCTCTGAATGACACATCCTTAGCCTTCACCAGCAGTATGACAGCAAGGAGCATAACCAGGGAGTGTGAAAGGAAGGCATGTTGTAGGACACTTAGAAGGAACTGCTCTACTCTTCACCCTTGTACCCCAAGAAAGGGAAGCCATTCTGTCAAGTTCGCTCAGAAGCAATTTCTTTTTTGTGCCTGTGGCGTTAACACTTGTAGCAAACTAATGGACCTAAAATAAAAATATACCTCTCAGGCACAATAGTAGCCCTATTTATCAAGCTAAGCAGTTTTCGTGCACACAAAAACTATTAGCATTTATCCCCATTTCCTTGACAGTAAGCTGAGGTGGGTTAATAAACACAAAATAACACTCAACAGGTAGCAGAGTTGGGATTTGGACATAATCTAATTCCTGTGCCCTTATTCCTGATCATTAACCTAAACTCCTGTTATTATTAGGATAATAATATTGAAAATTATATTCAAATGTGGTTTCTCTTTTGGAAAATGAACACACAAACATGGTGGAAGGAATTTTTAAGATATCTGGATGGAATATTTGGGATGGTCTCCTTCAAAATGTGCAAAATGTGTTTTGTGGACTATATTAAATTCTCCTGGGGGCTTCAAGGGACCTCAAAAAAAAAGTGACCTCTGCAAGTGAGAGACCAAGGGATGGCCATGTACTTCTCATGTGGAGACTGTGTACATCTAGAGGACTTCCAACGCAAGCCCAAGGGACTCGGCACAGATGCTGACCACTGCAGATGGGGAACTAGCTTTGTTTGCACGAGTACCTATACACCTCCAGCAGCAGTGGGAGTTGGGGTTCTTTCATAAGTTCCTGATTTCCCATGCTCCATCGAGTGGATCAGTTAGCAAGAAGGAGAGCAAACAGAAGAGGAAATTAACCCAAATGACGCTGCAGTAAATTAATGCAATAGCTCCTGAGTGGTCGGTCTGTTTGCCTGTTTACCACACTCAAACTACATTCTGAATATTGGAAGGGCTACTTTCTGTAAATAAGGAGTTTGCTTTGGAGATTGCTCCAGAACAAAATCCTGCCGTGTTGTGCCTATCTTAGCTGAGCTGGAAATGCAGAATGAGATTAGCAGACAAGACAGTGACCGACCACGTTCTGACTTTGCAGGCTCAGGACATTCTGGGCTGGGAAGGAGCCTCAGCCCACTAAAACATCAGGACTTCTAGGGTTGGCTCTGAAGACTCCTCCATTCACTGCCAAACCCCAGCTTGAGCTCCTCATCCTCATGGCCCTCACCAATAATGCCTTTGACTCTTCTGGTTTTAGCTTAAGGTCACTTTCTCCAGCACCTTAGTAGGTGAACCCACTGTATGTTCAGGGGGCACTTTCTACCATTTCATCATACTTGACCATGATGACTATGTTGTATCAGCCTGTGGCCATGCCCGGTGAGGGAAAGATGCCCAAGGCCCACAAAAGAAAGTTCAATAAATGAGCAAACATAAACTTCTGACCAGTTATTCTACCTGCACTTCCCCCACCCGTTCACTAACTAAATCCGCTGATGGCTCTTCTTGATAAGTGGAAATGTCTTCATTTCCATGAAGTGAAAAACCAAAGTGTGTGGCTTTAAGCAATGAAATGAGAAGTTACCACTCATACATTTTTTTCCAATGATTTTTTTAAAAACAAATAATAGTTTATTTTGACATCATTTTGTGCATTTTTCCATCTCAGGTGTAATCCCCGTGAGATTCCCATCACCAAATCACCATGTGCCATCACCATAGTCCAGTGATTTTTTTTTTAAGTAAATCCAAAAGAAGTACAAGCTAGAGTCTGTTTTGACCCAAGTAATTACAATTTTATTAATAAATTTTGGACTTCTCTTCTGTTGTAGAGCACTCACAGAATATAGGGAACTAGGGTGACTGTGGTGGGCTGAGCACAGGCTCCTCTCTTGCTTAACAATTCTGAGTATGTTTTTCTAGTTGTGAGAATTTGCTCTTTGTAACTTATTGGAGGGAGGTGGGGAAGTTTCAGAAGCCTTGCAAAATTAACAAAACTCTCGCTGACATGACTTAGGGCTACCAAGGGCACTTGAAACATGAGGAAATGACACCGTTCTTTTTGCTGACAATCATGTGTATAGACTGATTGTATAAAGCATTTGCTTCTGGAAAATGTATTCCTCTAGCAGTCTGGAGAAGGTTGGCAACGTCAACCTACAAGAGTCTGACCGTCTAATGGGAGTGTGTAATGTACGTACTTCTGCTTTGCAGTGGGTCGATGTGGCCCTCAAGCCTGATCGATGAAGCTTGAGCATAAATGCTCTTGATCTGGTGCTCCTTAAATGTAACTTTCCAGGAAGAGGAATGCTGTAAGAGCAGCTCAAGGAGTGCAGCAGAGGGAGCCAGGCTCTCTGGATGCTGCCACTTCAAATCCAAGAGGCCACCACGGAAGTTGGAATTAGACTCTGGCTTCGACATTGCTGAGACAGGGACAATCAGCATCAGCCTGAGGAGCCTTAAACAGCTGGCTGTTCACTCACTGCGGACCACTACCGTGGGAGGATAAAATGCCAGGGTGAAGGAAACTTTTCCAGAAGCCCATGCAGGGTTCTCTGAGGAGACCTGCGTGGGTATCTTTGGAAAGTCTGTCCCCAAGTGAAGGTGGTGTTCCAATCTTGGAGACCAGATTAAAAACTGTAAAAATAACTTTAAAAAAATAAAATAGTAAAGAAAAGGGAAGCAGTCCCAGAAGCGTCCTACATGTTTCTGCCTGACCAACCTGAATATATGTCTTTTAGCAACAAACTAGAAGGGATCACAGTGGTGACTGGTATAGTCTCTAACACTTCAAAATAAATCTGGACTTCTTTTCTTGATCTTCACAATTTCCCAAGTGGTTGCCAGTTTTATTACATCTTGCTCACCGCCATCTCCTTCCTGGAATTGGCCAGAACAAACCCCTCCAGTGAAAAAGAATGTGGGACCCTCCTTGGAGGTGCACACTTCACCACAAGTTTGATCCCCGGCCAGGGAGCTGACCCACATGACACGGTAGGCCTCTCCTGACCGCCCACTGCTCCCCTCAGCAGTGTATTTCAGTCATTCTGTCTGTTCTGCTCCCCACTCTGGTGACTCTTCTCACCCCTTGCACCTCTGGCCTGTGCTCCAGTTTTGTATGCATAAATAAAGAAAAGAAAAGAAATGTGCATGTCTGTTTTGGAGACACTGGAGCTCAGTTTCCCTGTCTGCAAAATAGGATGGCTGGATATGCTATGATCTCTAGGAGAATGTGCTCTCTCCTCCGCTTCTCACCCTCTCACACTGCCTCCTCCGGGAGGTCTGGGCCTGGTCAGTGTGGACGCACTGACTACTGAAGACAGATGGTCTGAATAGCTGTAGCAGATGCAAAAAAGAGGAAAGCAGACTGGATCCTGAATTCTGCAAGAATTAAAATCGAACTAGCCTGGGTGCAGAAGGTCACAGAGGTTTCACCACCTAGACTGAGTCCCAGTAATGACCTCATAGGTTAAAAGAAGAGCATGGAAGGCCAGCTACATAGTCCTCTTTTCAGAGGAAAGGCAGCATCTTAGCACATATACTCGCTCACCCAACCTTTTTCCGTTGTAACTTTTGCTTTTCCCTGAATTCCTCCATCTTCCTGGCCTCTTCTCTTAGAGTCTGTGCAAGATGAATATGACATTGTGCCACATTGTCTAGTTCTGCAAAAATAATAATAAAGAATCTAAATTTGTCTGAATTCAAATATGTAAAATCATACAGAAAATTTAAATATATATAAAATACCAGAGTAAGAAAATTAACACATTGCACTTAGCCACCAGCATTTATTGAGCTCCTGACATGCCCTGACTACCTAGACCAAGCTGGAAAACCTTTAGCTTAGCCTCCTGCCACTAACTGTTACTAACCTAGCATATGCCCAGGGCTGGGAAGAAAAACCAGACAAAGCCCCACCTCGGCCCTCCCTGGTGGCGCAGCGGGTTAAAGCACTGCACTGAGAAGCTTACGCCACTTCCACATGAGTTCGAATCCCGGAGGTGACCACATGGCGTGGCAGACCTCTCCTGACCCGCCCACTGCTCCCCTCAGCAGTGTACTTCGTCGATCAGCCTGTTCTGTTCCCCACTCTTTTCCTGGTGAATCCTCTCACTCTCCGCATCTCTGGCCTGTACCCCAGTTCTGTATAAATAAATAAATCTTAAAAAAAAAAAAAACAAAACCCCACCTCATAGGGCATAGGAGCCACAGGCATTATTAAGCCACATTAATTTCAAATTCAGTCCTTCTACTGGATCACTCTAGGTTTCTTTCCATTACTCATGAGGCTGGACCTTGAGGAGAGAGGTTCTATGCCAGACTTTTGGCTACCAATGATTATTTTTGGCCAGAGGGATCATTGGTAACTTTCCCCCATATTTTTTAAAACCTTAGCATGAGTATGGCTTACCTTTATAATTAGAAAAGCTGAATTTTCATTTTGCTTGTACTAAAAAAAAACCTGAAGCTGAATAGACTAACACATCTGATCTAAGGAAAAAATTTAAACTTGTATATTCTGAAATAAACTTGAACAAGTTTAAAAGATAGATGAAAAACTGGAAAAATACTTGTATTTATATAACCAAGAGTAAATATATTAAAAAAAGCATTCACGAATCAAAAGAAAAAAATAACATATTCCAGCATTAAAAAAAAAATGATTGAAGAACACAAAAGTTTACAGGGGTCAGCTAGACGGCTAAGCAATTATTTGAAAATATAGTCAGCCTTAAAACTATTGAAAAATATTAAAACCGTAAGTTCCAAAATATCACTCTTTACTTTCCAGTTTGTCAACATTTTAGAAGTGAACCTTTTTGGTTGTTGGCAAACAAAGGGGAGAAACAGCACTGATTAGGGGGGATCCGTACACTCTTTCTGGCGTTTATTAACAAACTCTGTCATTTTGTAAAAGCAAAAATTTTAAATGTAAAAGAAGGAATTACTTGAGTGACTGTCTCTGAGTAAAAGTAAGCAACAGAAGCCATCCTCTACAGCAGTGCTTCCCAAAGTGTTGTCCCTGCACGAGTGACTTCAGCATCCCTGAAGATCAGGCCACACTTCATGCTCCCTGAATCAGCAGGTTGAATCAGCAGGTTAAAGCGCAGCACTGCAAGCCAGCTGCAGCCAATTCAGTGAGGGTTTGACCCCCTGTCTGGAGCTGACCCACATGGCTCAGCAGACCTCTCCTGTCTTGCCTGCTGCTCCCCTCAGCAGTGTATTTCAGTCAATCTGCTTGTTCTGCTCCCCACTCTGTCTCTAGTGAATCCTCTCACCCCTACCCAAGCCTGCACTCTGGCATGTACATAAATCAATAAATCTTTTTTTTAAAAAAGTGCATCATGATATTTACAAGTGTGTTGGGGGGAGGTCAACGGCTCATTTCAGTTCTGCAGAGCCAATGCTCACTTTAGGAGTTGCCAAAATTTTTCTGTTCCTCCCAATCTGAGATTGGCATTCAAATTAAAACCCACTTCTCATGACTGACACAGACTTGCCAAGAACAGCAAGTACATTTTTAAAGACTCACTTACGTTGCTTGAAGACTTCAAGGGCCCGCTTCAAAGTGCTAGAAAACAAACACACATCATTTCAGTACTGGAAATTATTGCACAGTCTTTTATAATGATGCTGCTTGCTTTTCTCTCTCCAGGTTGTAACTTAGAGACCCAGCAAAAGATTAAGAGTTCTTCCATCCATTACTCTCTTAATCTCAGGCACAAGCACCATAAATTCTTCACTGTCCGCCTGGCTAGTGCAAGATGCCAAAATTATTGATGCTGTTTTCCCCAGTGATAACATAGGAATTATGGTCGCTTCCACATAAGAATACCAATTATTCTCTAGGTATGGCGATTATAAATGTAATTACAAGCTAATAACCCTAGCTCCTGATTGCCTCCTTTTTTATCCATTCAACAGTCATCACAACCTATAGACGAGGCATGTGTCAGAGATTGGTAATTCAGGGGTGCTAGACAGACATGGTCCCAGATCCAAGTCTCACAGAGGAGACAGAGATTAAACAGGCTGGGTAGTGTTTCAGTGCTGAGTAACAAGTTACCAAATACTTAGCAGCTTAAAACGTACACACTTACTACCTCACAGCTTCTGTGGGCAAGACATCCAGACCTGTGTAGCTGGCCTCTCAGAGTCTCACAGGCTGCTATCAGGGTGTGAGCCAGACTTCCCTCTCATCTGGAGCATTGACAGGGGAAGAATCTGCTTCTAAACTCACACTCTACAGTTAATCCATAGTCCTAAAGAATAAAATAGCTGAATGTGTTAACTCTGGTCATCTTTATTTTTTCTTCTTGAAAAATTATTTTCTCTAATAAACAATGCCAAGTTGGAAGTTTTTTGTTGTTTTTTTCATCTCTCTGTGCTTTGGAGAAACGATTCTATGGTTTCTGTCATTTTGTCATCATCACTGGTACTGAAAAATCAGTGATTTCTGATAAATGTAGGAAGTAGATAATCATTATCTCTTTAGGATTTGTTCATTATCTTGGCTATCAGTTGGACTGTTCTGTGTATTGCGAATTTCTTTTTTTTTTTTTTTAGGTTTTTGTTTTTACTGCCTAAATCTGAGAAAGTATGGCTCCTGTCATTTTTGGAAAGTTCTCAACATCTTCACTAAAAAAGTTTCTTCTCTTAAGAAGAATTTAGTCCTTCCTTCTTGAGTTTGAACTGGGACACTGTTCTTTTCCTGGTTTTCAACCCTTTGGACTTGAGCTGAATTACACCTGGTTTTCTTGGTCCCCAGCTTACAGACAGCAGATCAGCCTCCATAATTGTGTGAATTATGTGTATGTGTGAACACATGTGTATATACATACATATATACATATGCATGCATACATGTACATATACATATATAAATATATATACATACATACATATATACACACACACACACACGTTCTGTTTTTCTGAAGAACCCTGACTAATCCAGGGTTTCCCTAAAATCTAGTCTACGATATAGTGGACACAGAAGGTCATAACTCACTATTCTCAGTCTCCCTCTTCCTTTCGCTTATAGCCCTGGCCTCCTCCTCCTTTACATTCTCCCAGCTAGTGGTTTTAGTTCTCCCTCAAATGTTCTTCACTTCCTCAAGTAAAACTCCCTTTGAAATGATTGGTCCTGAGAATTTTCTTACTGATTGCCACCTTTGTGGTGATGGATCTCATGGGCTCAGTCCTGCCTCTCAGGTGGGAGAACTGGGGCTTTTGAATTCATGACGGAGTCATGGGTCATTTTGTCTACGTATGTGGTAAGTTCTGTTCTTGTGCAAGTAAAAATGCTCATGTTTTCCAACTGGTCCTTTCTTTTAGCCACCTCACTTTTACTAATGTTTATTTATCCCAAAGCAAAGGGATTTTCTTTTCCCCTCTCCTTTCTCATATGCCATCAAACAGAAGAGCATCACAGCACATTTTCCATATACTATCCCCATCTCATGATACCATTTCTCAAGGAATGCAACATGCTAGAAAAGTGTCCTGATCCAAAGAAATGCACCAATGGTCCAAAGGAGGCACGAACATGACTAGAGAGTGGGCTGATTACTGGAATGAGCGGGAAAGACAGACGGACCTGGCAGCAGGCACCGTGAGCCGTGACATGGTAAGGTCAGGCTTACAAATAGTCTGTTCAGGCTCTAAGAGTCTTCTCCTCCCAAGTAACTTCCTCCCAAGTAACTAAAGAACAGCCCAATCTCCATTTGGTTAGGCAACTTCAGCTTCGTGGTCTCACATGTCACTTCATTGCCGTTTCCCATGTTCACAACGTGAAGACTAACCAGGGGGTAGTATCTCAACCTTGGGGCCAGTGTTGTAGCAATTTTCTTTTCTTTTCTCTGGTGTTCCCCTTTATTATGGGAAAAGAAAATATTCTGCCATCCTTCAAAAAGCACATCGGCCTCTCAGAGAGACAAGTCTTGGATGTGGCCAGTGAGGTGAAAATCCCACCTAGCCCACCAACATGCAGAATGAGCCTCGGCCGGGACCTTCCAAAAAGTCATCTGGGAGGTGAGAGCAACAGAAGCCAGCTAAGTGGCCTTTCACTTCAATCTTAGGAACAGTCCCAGGTCTCATATCCTCTTTCATCTTCCTCCTGAGGTGTATTCTTAGAAGGAAAACCGCCTGGCTTTTACCAGGGAATGGTGCTAGCATTCGCAGTGAGTTTACTATTGTAAGTCAAATACGTAAGGACATAAGACATAGTTTGGGTCAGACTCCTCCTGCTAAATATCTTTCTCAGAAATACCATGTGAGAGAATATGGCTGCTTTCCATCACATTCAAAAGTTCTTGGATATGTTCCCAAATGGCTTTCTTTATAAGTAAACACTTTTTTTTTCTTTTTTTGGTCAAGTGACACGCTCATCTTTCTTGAAATTATCTAAACATTGATATGAAAGTCTTTGAATAACAATGAAAGATATCTAAGTTTACACAGTTTTAATCTGTGAATAAGTTTTACATATTCAAAACAAAACTACAAGACAGAGAGAAGAAACAATCCTTAGTTTAAAACAAACTGAAACAAACAACTACATATGAAATATTCTATAAATCACACAAAAAGTAAACATTTCAAGTGATCTTAGATCCCAGTACTCATAGTGGAATATATATTCATGTCGAAAGGAACTGCAAAGAAATTAATAAACGTCACTCAGATGTTTCATTATTAGTAACTGTACTGATACTGTTTTCAAGACATTTTAATATCTTGTCACAGAAAGCAAATACTTCTGTTACTCTTGTAAGGACCCAAGTTCTTTAGTGCAAAAAGAAATACAAATATAACATTAAATAAACTAAATAATACTCTGTAACATTAAATTAGAAATACCAAAATAGGAAATATGAACTCATGCTTTTAAAATCTGTCCCCCAAAAGGATCAAGAAAAAGAGCTATTTCTATGGCAGTCCAGAGGTGAGGCTGGGGAGGGGTTGGAGGATTCACCAGAGACAAAGTGGGGAGCAGAACAGGTAGATCTGCTAAGGGGGTTAGTGGGGAGACAGATAAGGTGTGCTGTGCCATATGGATTAGCTCCTTGGCCAGGGACTAAACTCAGGCTGTTGTGGGCCTTCATGGAGGCAGCCCTGACACAAACCCCTAGGCCAGCAGGAGGCTACCCCCCACCACAAGGATCTTTGCAGACTCACAGATGCCAAGCCATCTCCACAGCTACAGTTCAGCCAGAGCAGAATACAGGTCAGTTAGTGATGTGACTAGTTTCAGAGATCTGCAAACATCTACCTGAACTATTTCTCCTACGCCTCTCTCAACATGCTTCTGTTGGAGAAGGAATCTGGAAATTTCTAGGAATAAGAATGGTTTTATCACTTGTAAGTTTCACTGCAAAATAAAATGTGAGATTTATTTTTTTAATCAATTATGAATTTCAAAATGTTGACAGCAAAGAATATTAAGCCAATTACAAAGCCTTTCTAAGTGTGAGATCCTATCTGACTGCCTCTGAATCCAGCGTTGTGTGTGAGGAGTGTGTTGCTAAAGGATACACATGTCCTGACCATTTTTGTATCTTCAGATATTCAATTCATGATGGAAGAATAAGTAGTTGTGTTGAAATTTCACACTGACAGTGAAAAAACTATAAAGTAACAAAGATAGTCTCCAATAGTTAACCACAAACAAAGATAATCTCTAATAGTTACCACATAAAGTTAACTTATTAAATTATAAATTAATTAAATTATATAGCGGTCCCTCCCTGGTGGTACAGTGGGTTAAAGCACAGCACTAAGAAGCTAAAAAAGCCACTTCAGCATGAGCTCAATCCCCAGCCCTGGAGATGACCCACATATCACACAGCGCAGCAGACCTCTCCCGACCCGCCCTCCACTCCCCTCAGCAGTGTACTTCATCAGTAGGCCTGTTCTGCTCCCCACTCTGTCTGTGGTGAACCCTCTCACTGCCCCTGTACCTCTGGCCTGTACCCCAGTTCTGTATGCATAAATAAATAAATATTTTTTTAAAATTATATAGCATTTAAAAAATAAATAATGTAGCATTAACCATACCTGTGAAAAACAGACATAGAAAAGACTTCAAGGAAAATCTAGAAAGTATTAATAATGGGCTGTGGTTTAATAGTTTATTGAGCCTAATTTCACTTTATATTTTTCACCCCTAGAAGTAAGCCAAAAAAAAAAAAAAAACACTACTGCCTTTTTTGTTTTTCACCCAACACATTTCACCCTAAAGCCACCTATTTGTTGAAGTGAGGGGGTTCCTGTGCAGTATCAGCTGGCCTGGAAGCCAGAAATGTGGAACCTACTTGATCTCAAACTGTCCACATGGCTTCTTCCTGGAGAGGTTGAGCAGATCTTTGCCATATTTCTCTTCAATTGATGCCCTAAGGGAATAGAAGAGAGGGGTTTGAGTCCTTCGTACAGCTGATTCTTAGATGTGTGGTGCTCTTTTCAGAAGTAAAACTGCACCTTTGACACTAGAAACTTAGCTATAAGATTATTCTCTGAAACCAAAACTCCCTCTCTATGATGAAGAATTGTACAAGGCCAACAACCTTATCTCTGCAGTGGGCTTCTTCAGCTTGAAGTCCCCAGAGTGGACATGACAGCAAACGCAGCTGGCCCCCTGACCAGCACAGGCTAACTTCTCAAAACTATGATCCAAGAGATTCATTCATTGATTGATATTATTATTGTAAACTATAACATTGATTAGATTAATAATGCATCATAAATTAATACTAATATGTAAGTTAATGTTAAATTTTATGTAACATGTTAATGTAGCAGTATCTAACTATAGTATAGATAATAAAATGAAGTGAGAAATATTTCCATAAAATGCTACATTTTGAACCCAATTCTCCTCCCAACACCTCTGATACCTTTCAACCATCTTATGCAAATTCCTCGTTCACAAATATAGAACTGTACAAAAAAAGGGAGAAATTTCAGCATGTAAGGTCTGCAGGTGACATGGCTGACAAAGCCACTGATTGTTACTCAGTGTGGCATGGGTCTGTCTACAGCTCTAAACAGCCCCCCACAAATTTCCCTCTCCTCACAATCCTGTGTCACCATTCTAACTTGTGTTCCTGTCCTCCCTTATCTTAACCAGAGTATTTGGTTATGGGACTTTAGACTCTTCTACCTTCCTTTCTTCTAATTTAAATTATATGTAATCAATGAATATATTTTCATTGCAAAATATTCAAACCATACCAAGTTGAATGGAATAAAGCATGAACCTCCCTTTCATCGCTTCCCCAGCCCCACTCATGTCCCCAGGGGTGGCCACTGTTAATCTTGGTGTCTTTCCTGGCCTTTCTCTCTTCATTGACATTTTTTTTTATCTGACATAAACATAAATTGTTACAATTGCATAAATGAATTCATTCTGTTATTTGATGCTCCCGTTTTCACCGAGTCATATGTCATATGACTAGTCATATGTCATATATGACTAGTCATATGTCATATGAACTTTCCTTGAGATTTTGATAGGGACTGCATTGAATCTGTGTATTGCTTAGGTAAATGGCCATTTTGAACAGTGTTAATTCTTCCAATCCATGAATACAGAACATCTTCCCACTTTTTTGAGTGTCTTCAATTTCTTTCAACAATGTCTTGCAATGTTTTAGTGTAAAGGTCTTAACAGACTTGGTTTATCAGCACTGACAGGCCCCCTGTGTTCTAACATGAGGTCCTCCATACTTCAGGTTCCCCTCATTTGCTTCCAGTATTTCACTACTCTTCCCCCATCAAAAAAAAAAAAAAGGCTAAATTAACTTTTTGAAGTTTTAAATTTGGGGGAAATAGTGCCAAATTGCCCTCCAAATAGCCTTTTAATTTATATATCCACCAAAAGTGGAGAATAGTTTCCATTCCCAAAGCCTCCCCTCTATGCACCCAGCATATATTAACAATCCTTCTTAATTATTACTAGTCTTGGAGAGATGTTTAAATCAAACTATCATTTTAATTTGCACTTCCCTGATTTTTTTTAAGATTTGTATTTATTTATTTTATATATGTGTGTGTATATATACATATATATATATATTTACATCATTCTTCATTTGTTCATTTTTCCATCTCAGTTGTAATCCCCATGGGCTTCCCACCACCAATTCACCCGTGTCCCATTGCACTTCCTGATTTGTATTGTGAATTGTACATCCTTTTATATGCTTATTGGACATTTGGCACTTTAGACCTACTCCTATAGGTTACCTATTCATATCATCCCAATTTTTTAACTCTTTTGCCTTTTTCTATTATTTAAAAGTTCTTTATATATTAGGAAGAGTAATACATATTCTTACATCTTACAAAATTTCTCCTACTCTCTCACTTGCATTTTCTAAATAATGATTTTATCCATTTTATAAAAGTGACACATAACTATTATTCAAAAAATAAGCAAAAAGAAAAGTACAGAGAAGAAAGCAAAAAACTTTCCAAAACTCTGCCAAGTAAAAATAATTAATAGTAACGTTTGGTGATGACATTTTTTTTAATTGAGGTCACATTGGTTTGCAACACTGTATACATTTCAGGAGTACAGCTTCACACCTTCACAAATATATTTAACACTAAATTCGCACCAACGAAGGTCCAGTGACCACCCACCACCCGCCTGACAAGCCCCAAACCATTCTTCCCAGTCCTCTTCCCCTCTGGTAGCTGCGATTCTGTTGCCCAAATCTAGTAGGATTTTGTTTATTTTGTTTGTTCTTTATGCAAGTATGCAAATAGGATGATTGATGTCACACGAATAATTTTGTTAAAGATTTATTTATTTATGCTACAGAACTGGGGTACAGGCCAGAGGTGCAGGGGTGGTGAGAGGATTCACCAGAGACAGAACGGGGAGCAAAAAAGGTAGACTGATGAAGTACACTGCTGAGGGGAGCAGCTGGTGGGTCAGGTGAGGTCTGCTGTGCCATGTGGTCACCTCCAGGGAGGGGATCAAACTCATGAGGAAGTGGCTTTAGCTTCTTAGTGCTGTGCCACCAGGGAGGGCCCTCACATGAATAATTTTAAAAGGATGTGGCCATACTCTGTGTTTTTTAAAAATAGAATATTGGACCCTCCCTGGTGGCACAAAGAGTTAAAGCGCAGCACTATGAAGCTATCTGCAGCCATGGCAGCACGAGTTCGATGCCCAGCACGAGTTCGATGCCGGGCCAGGGAGCTGATCCACATGGTGCAGCAGACTTCTCCTGACCCACCCGCTGCTCCCCTCACAGTGTATTTCACTTGATCTACCTGTTCTGGTCCACATTCTGTCTCTGGTGAACCCTCTCATCCCTTCCCAGCCCCACCTCTGGACTGTATCCCAGCTCTTGTACACATTAATAAATAATCTTTAAAAATAAATAGAATAGAATATTGGCCTGATTTTATTTGAATTTTGCAGAAGAAAAGGAAAACTTCCTGGACTACATCTCTGAATAACTTTAGCATTCCCTTTGGCAAACTTTATACTTGGGATCAGTTACCAGGGGTTGGACTGTCTTTTCTGGACCCTGTTTGTTTACCTGGTTTTAACTTCATATCTCTTTCCCACTTTTCCCTCATGTCCCCGCCCCCAATTTCTTTTTTGGTTTTGATACTTCAGCACAACTATTGTACATTTGGGTCCATCTTGCTCCAGGCACTGTGAGAAACTCCTCGATTTACTCTGGGACCCTTTAAGGACACTGTCCTTCAAGTCCACCTGATTTGACATAGTACTTCTCCTCAGTACTATTGTTTCAACAAACATTCTATTTATTTCTTGAACCTCTACTCTTGGAACATAGTTCTAAAGTTTTTGTCAACCACTGGTAATGTAAAGTGAAATGCTACATCTATTAAGATTTCTTGATAATGTTTTGTGGTTTCCAGGAAGAGAAGATACTCAATTCCTTTCTTCTAACATTACGGCAACACGAGCTGAACACACCATAAGCTTCATCTGATGGAATAACGGAAAGTCCTAGAACCTGGTAAGTAACGAGTTCCAGCAAGCACAGTGATATGCTCCTTGGAGAAAAGAAGGAACTTTAGAAGAACTGAAACTACAGCATCCTCTTTATGAAATCAGGGAAACAACCACAAGCGAAGAGGGTTATTTCCCCAGCAAATGAAACGCTGGCGCCAATAAGAGAACAACTAGAATTTTTGCAAAAATCATGCTTAAATAGGTATGTGTTTACCTACCTCTCCCTCCCACGACCTATGCAAAATTTCCCTCACCTGCCCATCAATCTGTCATTCTTGGACACCCTCTATATGCCAGGCATCCTCTCAGGAAAGCCCAGAGATATCGAAAGTGCAAGAACTGCCCACAGATCTCATAATCTGGTGGAGAGATATAAACCAATACTTGGGTTTACTACCACTGACAAGGCGCAAAATTAAAAGGCACTAAATGACACAGGGAAGAAAACAGGGAATACTGCTCCTGCTGCTCTTACTGCTTGGCTGCACACTTTCTTTACAAAGCTCTCCTTGAGGACTCCAGCTCATTTTTACCTTTCCCTTTCTCAAATCTCCATAGCAGGAATATCCATGTGCCCCTTGCTTGCCCATGACCCACAGCAAACACCATCCCACGGGGCCCTTGCTACTGGGCCAGACGGCAGCCTCTGGATGATCCCCAACCCAGAACGCCACGCTGAGCCAAAGTGCAAATGCAAGCATGGGACCAGGTAGATCTGCCACTTTGATATTTTGCTCATTTTTACCACAAGTGCCAAATCAAAGCACCTCAATGGACTCACAAATTCCTTGAGAAGAGCCGCATTGTTAGGTCCTGAGGGAAACTTACAGACTATCAAGCCAAACCCTCTATTGTACAGAGGAGGAATCTGACACCAAGCACGGTCTGGGCCCTTGATGAATATCACGGCTGGCTACTGAGGAAGCCCGGGTGAGACGTGAGACGAGCCAAGTGTCTGGGTTCTCACCCCACGGCTATACTTACCTTGCAGGTTTCGCTTCCAGCCCATTCTATAAGGGACATGCGGTAGGTTGAATTGTGTTTCCCCCGGAAAAAAATATTTTGAAGTCCTAATCTCTAGTATCTCAGAATATGACATTATTTGGAAATAAGGTCGCTGAAGATGTAATTAGGTTAGGTCACACTGGAGCAGGATGTGCCCTTAATTATGGCTGGTGTCTTTACAATAATATATGAGGACACAGAGGAAGAAGTCACATAATGATGGAGGAAGGACAGGAGTGAGCAACTGAAAGCCACAGATTGTCAGCAGCACCAGAAACTAAAGGAAAAACATGGAACCAATAGAAAAAAAAAAACAACAACAACATAGAAAGACACCAACATGCTCTCCTAGCTCCTTCAAATGAGCATGCTCCTGCAGAATATCCTGATTTTGGACTTCTGGCCTCCAGAACAGCTGGGACTAAATCTCAGCTGTTTAAGCCACCTCACTTGTGATGACAGCCCTCGGAAACTCATTTGGCCCAAAATAGCTTGACTGTAACTTAACCACAGAGTGCTAATGCCTAGAGAAGTCTGTCATTCCCACCCTGGCACTCTGCCATCCTTCAGCCTACCCTGAGAGGTAACTGGCCCACAGTGAGGGTCCCAGAATATGACGGTAACTAGGGCAGGTCAACCATTTCCTAAGAAGGAGCCCTGGGCAGCTCACAAGAAGAGACCAGAGCCAAGGTACTGGGGATGCAGAACTCCCGGTCCACAGTGTGGCCTCTAACCCACAAGGGGTGCACAGTCCAGAACTGAAGGGCTCTGAGAGCTGCCTCCATTCTCCTTAATTAGGCTCCAGTCGCTGCGCATAATCGAGAGAACTGACCTGGCTGCCAAGTTCTTGGCCAAACCCCCTTTACAAAATATGCCCAGGCCCTTGGGTGACCATTACAGAAAGTGGAAAAGTCATCAGACACGTCTCTATTCCTTACTGAATGTGTAATCTTGGGCCAATTGCTTAGACCCCAACACAACTTAACTTTTCTTATCTGTGAAAGAGTTAATGATATATCCCCTTCCTTCCTCCCAGGTTTCACACAACTATATTAGTAATGAGAGCCATTTGCTCAGTACTTACTGTGTGCCAGGCACAATACTGCCACCCTGCCATGATTCCAGGGCCCAACTTTCCTAGGTTTGAAACCGGATCCTCTCATTAGCTGTCTGATCTTAGCTAAATTACATAACTTTCCTGAGTTCCAGTTTAATTGTAAAATAACAATGATAAAACTTACTATACAGGGTTGTGATAAGAATAAAATGTGGTAATATGTGCAAAATATATGATAGCTTGTTTCAGATAAGGTTTCAATAAACGGCAGCTATTAAAATAATATCATGTAACCACTCCTAGCTCCCTTTTGTGGTGTAATTATCCTCACTTCTATGTTTCTCATTCCCTGCTCATACCATGAGCTCTGCAGATGTCTGGCTCCACCTGGGGTCCTAGAGGAAGGATTGTCCATGGTTACCAATGACAAGACAGGTTCATTCTCTTAACCAGTGGAAGACCTCAGGCTGGAGTGATAAACAGAAAATGTCCCATAAAGAAAAAAAAAAGAAGAGGAAAATTTGACCTGGGCTTTGAAGGATGGTGAGCATTGGCTGAAGGATCAAAAAAAGAGGATATTCCAGGTGGGAAGACAATGGAGTAAAGATAAAGAGATACAGACATCCAAAGCCTGCTCACTAATGAACCCGTCTGGCTGGAATAGAGAGTGGGCGTAGTGAGTAAGAGTGTTTGACACCAGAAGACAAGGAAGGAGAGAACATCTCTGTGCTGGGAACCAACCCACTTCCCTGGAGAGCCACCTGCCCTGCCTGGAGCTGATGAATCATCAACACTGGAGCAACCTGGAACTGTCCTGGATCCTGTCACCCTCTAGAATTCCCTAGTAAATTATTTATCCACCTCGCTACAAATGCTCAACGTGAGCCTATTATAACCACTATTTAGATGTTGGTTGTAACTATTTACATCTTGGTTGTGGCTGCATCATCTCTATCACTATTACGCCTTTCTAGCTGACAGAAGGGCAAACTTACAACGTACTGGTCTAGAGATCAGGCCAGCCACTTGCTCGGGGGTCTCAAACCCCACACAGCGCATCCACGTCTCTCACCCTGACCTATAACACAGTGACAACAGTTGATAACACTGTCCTGTGTAATTAAAATTTTCTCACTCACAAAAAGAGAATATTAGTTATATCAACAATTGATTTTGGAGTACATGGTGAAATGAGTATAATTTAGCTCACTGGTTAAATAAAATGTTTTAAAATAATTTTACAACTGATTGTAAGAATAATTTTAATTCTTGTATTTACATGACTGAAACATTTCCAAAGATTTAAAGGCATCAGGGGGTATAGGGATATTGAATTCATAGTTTGATGTTAAAAGAACCATTTTTATTTTTTAAAAATTAAATATAGTTGAAGGCCCGCCCTGCTGGTGCAGTGGGTTAAAGCACAGCACTAAGAAGCTGAAAAGCCACTTCAGCCTGAGTTCAATCCTCCCCCCGCCCCCCAGAGGTGATTCACACGGCGTGGCAGACCTCTCCTGACCCACCACTGCTCCCCTCAGCAGTGTACCTCGTCAGTCGGCCTGTTCTGCTCCCCACTCTGTCTCTGGTGAATCCTCCCACCATTCCTACCCCTCTGGCCTGTACCCCTGTTCTGTATTCATAAATAAATAAATCTTTTTAAAAAATTAAATATAGTTGAATAAAATAAAAGGGTAGTAATGTTTTACTAACCTTTTGCTTTATGCATATGCATACTGGGTGGCAGCATCAATTACATTTCTTTTTCATTAAAGATTTATTTGTGCATACAGAACAGGGGTGCAAGCCAGATGTTCAGGGGTGGTGAGAGGATTCACCAGAGTGGGGAGCAGAACAGGCAGATTGACAGAGTACACTGCTGAGGGGAGCAGCGAGCAAGACAGGAGAGGTCTGCCTCTCCTGGGCTCACCTCTGGGGCTCGGGATCAAACTCGCACTGGCGCTCTGGCCACCTTGCAGTGCTGCTCTTTAACCACTGCGCCAGCAGGGAGGGCCCATCAAATACATTTCTGAAATGAGGATTGCATTTAAAAAAGTGTGGACACCACTCATTTAGACCACCACCATGCCCATCAAGCCAGGAGGAGCTTAAATGGCCCTGCTGGGCAGCGAAAAAGCTTGACCATTTGCCAGTACCTCCTTCCTCTGTGGATGTAGACAAAGCTATTTCCCTTCCAAAAGAAATTTTATAAAAACATAGCAAGAGGAGGAACACAAAAAGCACAGGGTGTTCTGCAATCTCTACATCCTGCACAGTCATGAAACTCATTTGTCAGAGCTGTTTGGTAAGAAAGGAGGAAGCCCAACTCCAATGCCCAGCAACAGAAAGGAAAATGTAACTTGATGTCACTGCGGCCTATCAGTGCAAATAGAAGAGGGATCTGGTTGCCCCAAAGGAGGGGGTGCAGTGACCAGCTCCCTGGAGGCTGAGAGTGGACAGGCCCCATCCACCCCTCCTGACACTCACTGTGTGGAGGGGGTCCAGCTACCCTGGACCTTTGAAAAAGTTAAAGAACCATTTCACCTTCCAAGGGTGGGTAACCTGTATTGAGTTCCACGTCACCTAACGTTCTCTTGAGTATAAAGTAAAGAGACTTGAGCAAAAACACTGATGGTTGTGTTCACCGCCCTCATTTACATCCTGCCATCTTGGATTAGCTTCTGGGAAATAGTGGTGGAGCTGAGTGTCCGGGTGGAGGCCTAAAACAGCCACAGTCCATGTGCTAATGGTTGTATCACCAAGTGATGAATCTTTCACTCGTTGCCTTCTAAGTATTGATAGTACCCATTAAGTAGTTTGAGACCTGGCAAAAACCCCCTAAAGCACTCTATCCAGAATCCTTCGGAAATGACGTATTCTGGATGAGTAAGAGTTCCCACAAAATTGGTCCTCAGGGTGGCACAGGGGTTAAAGTCTCAGTGCTAGCAAGCTATTACCAGCCACGTCACCTGAGTTCCATCTTTGGCCAGAGAGGTGATCCACAGGGTGCAGCAGACCTCTCCTGTTTCACCCACTGCTCCCCTCTACTGAGAGGATATCTACTGAGATACACTGCTCCCCACTTTGTCTCTGGTAAGTCCTCTCACCCAGACCCCACACATCTGGCCTATATCCTAGTTCTTGTCTGCATAAATAAATAAGTCTTTTTTAAAAAAAGAGAAAAGGATGTTCCACAAAACTAACCCCATTAATTCTACAATTTTTCAAAACAGTATTAAGAAGAAAAGAAAATTTTCCAAGCCATGCATGTTGCCCCCCAACCACCAAGTCCAGCTGCCCCCCACATACCTGCCCTGCCATTTTCCCACTGCTCCCCCGCCAAGAGTCTCTGAATGAGGCTCTGCCCCACCCTCCACCATCAGGACCTAGCTCCTTCCCACCTCCAAGTTGCTGCTCTGCCATGGACACCTGGGCACTCCTGACCTATCAAAATCAGCTTGTCCTCTGAGGGCACCTCAAGAATCTCCTCCAGGAAGCTGATTCCCTCCTCATTCTCTATCCTCCACAATTTCTCCCTCCCTCCCTCCCTCTCTCTCTGCCTCTCTCTGTCTTTCATATTATACAGAGTTTATCACGCAGCTTCACCCTGCTATTCTGGTGTGGAACAGTCCTTTGTAGAAGCAATTACCATTTACTGAGAAGAAAAAACTGTTGAGTGTCCCCACACTCAAAGTAGATTCACCAAATCATACCAAATAGCACATAAAACTTAAAATAACACGAGCACCCAGTAAAAGCAGGATGCCACGACAGGAACACCACTCGTGTAAGGTGGTTGTGGGGCGCTCACTGTTGGGGCTCCCTGCCTCTACAGCTGTCAAGAACCAAGCACCAAACGCTATTTTTGCTTTTCGCCTTTTGTCACAAAAAGAAAGTCCTCTTTGGGTTGCTTTCGGAGAGCAGAAACAGGTACCAACAGGTCTTTCATGAAAGCAAGAGGTGCCGTGTGAACTTTCAGTAAGGGAGGGATTCTTATTTTGTTCATTGTTTCGCTCATAAAGGCTGTCCCTCAAACTATTTTCTAAGACTTCAGGCCAGAGATACCATTTACTTCTTGGGTGCACTCCACAATCTACAGCATAGTGTGAACCATTAAAAACAATTGTTCCCTGCTGTGTGGAGTATTTGCTCTCCACCTTGTTTCAGACAGGAAAGCGCAAGTACCTTTCCTTTAGAAAGTCTTCGAACTCTTTGCAATTCTTGCGGCCGTTGTTCAGATGCTGAATGATGCTGTCGTAGCCAGCGGTACTGAGGATGTCCGAGCTCTGTGGGGAGAGACAATATCGAGTCAGACCTGAAACAGGTCTGCAGCCCCGGGGCCTGGGGTGGACAGAACACTGGGACATCTGCCATGGGAAGTTTCTCAGACGTTTTACTTCCAAGAAATGTGTGACCAAAAAGAATAAAAATAGAAGAAGTAAGACTGCAAGTAGCTGTGGAAGTCTTTAAAATTATGACACTGAAGGCCACAGAACAGGAAGGAAGTGACAAAGGACTGATATGCTTGGATGAGGGAGCTGAGCCTGCCGGGGTCCCTCCCTGTGACCACACACTGGGCATGTCCTCCAGCTCTCCGCCCTCGGGTGTGTCTTCACCCGATTAAGTGGGAAATGACACGCACCCCACAACCATTTTAACCAGAGGTTATGAAATTTGCTTTATCTTCAAATTTGACCCTTATCTCAGTTACCACAACCAACAAGCCACTTGGAAGGCTGAGGATTGAGGTGAGCATCTCCAAGCCAGGAGCCAGGTCCCCACAGTGAGAGTGAGAAGCTGCCATCCCACTGGGGAGCGTAAAGGGGAATCCAGCAGACAATATATTCCACGGCCCCATTTTGGAAGAATTATTTTTTAATTTTAAATTAGGGATGTATTTTTTGGGCATTTGGGTTGATTCCACATCTTTCCTATTATAAATAGGGCCACAGTAAACATTGGGGTACAGGTGTCCTTTTGAATTCATGTTCTTAAGGCCTTTGGGTAGATATCTAGGAGTGGAATTGCTGGGGCATATGGAAGCTCCAAGTTTAGCAGTTTGAGAAACCACCACACAGATTTCCATAGTTAAAAATAGATGACTAGATCAAGATGTGGTACATATATATGATGGAATATTACTCAGCAATCAAAAAGATAAACCCATGCCATTTGTGGCACCATGGATGGAGCTGGAAGGGATCATGCTTAGTGAAATAAGCCAGAAAGAAAAAAATACCGGATGGTTTCACTCATAGCAGGAATGTAAGAAATCAGGAAAAAAAATTATATCTATCTATCTATAGATA